TCTTCCATAATCTTGAATGGAAGCCATTTGGGGCTTGCTAGGGACAAATTCATAAAAACCAAAGACTTCCAGAGTCTTTGGAATCAGACAGTTTGGAGATCTGACAGACCTGATTTGAATTTCAGCTTCAACATTTATTAGCAATATAACTTCAGGAAGCCACATAACTTCTCTCCGTCTCAATTTCCTCTGAAACCATGTGATTTGTAGGGATGGTTTGGTGATAGGACTGACTGTGGTTTTAAGTGCATGGTATATAATTATAATCAATACATGATATCTATTTATTATTCATATCTACTCCCAAGCCCCCATGATACAGAGGAGAAAACTGAGGCCATAAAAATTGAGAATTTCAGGGCTTCCCTGGTGGCGCAGTGGTTGAGAGTCCGCCTGCCGATGCAGGGGACACGGGTTCTTGCCCCGGTCCGGGAAGATCCCACATGCCGTGTAGCGGCTAGGCCCATGAGCCATGGCCGCTGAGTCTGTGCGTCCGGAGCCTGTGTTCCGCAATGGGAGAGGCCACAACAGTGAGAGGCCCGCGCACCGCAAAAAAAAAAAAAAGAATTGAGAATTTCTCAAGGCCATCCCTCCTCCCCAAGGCTAGGAAGCCCAAGCAGGGCTACCATTAAGCATCACCCAGCCTTCATTTGCTCAGGGGACTTTTTTGGTAAAAACCTACTTGTGTTTGGACTCACACTGTTTCCTAAGGAGGGCTGGAGACTCCATAATGTCCTTGCATTGACTGAAGCTCACTGCAAACTTCAGTTCCAACTGGGCCATTTCCTATTCCAGTAGAAGGGCAAAGATTCAATCAAAGAATCTGGGTGAGAAATGGGATGGAAAGAGTTTTCCCCTACCCCAGTTTATAGGAGTCCTTTTATTTCCTCCTTTCTAGGACATAAAAGAAAAATTGGAAATATGGGTCCCACTGAAATCTTTCATTGTATAAATCCTATATTCTTTAATTATATTGAAATTATTTGCTTAAACAATTCAGTACGATGCAATTCTGGTGAGCTTTAGGTTCAGTTTCACATCCAGACAAGAGTTATTCCAAACACAGGAATGGGTGAATTTTACAATAAGTAAAACTGATGGATAAGATAAAATAAGATGATAAGTGTCCAATGAATTGCATAGCACCATGGCAGTGCTTCCTACTTACAGCAGACAGGGTTTAAGGAGATTTTATCAAAGCGGGATATAGAAATTGCATGTACTGAAACTTCAGCTGGATGATTCATTTTCTGTGGGAATTTAATCAGTGAAAAACAAAACAGAGTGAGCTAGAAGTATTTACTGCTCAAAGATACTGAAGGTGGCAGGTCAGTAGCAACAATTAAGTAATTGGTTTTCTGGCTAATTAGAAGAAATGGAGAATATATGCCTGCAATTCTTTCCTCACTGAGAGGATTACACCGACTGTCCCTGTGAATACATTCAACTAATCTGTGCCTACAGATTGTTCTCTATTTTAGCTTCAGTTTATCCATGACTCAAGCTCATCTCCACTTTGCCCTCATATAGGAATCTTGCCACATTACCATAACGTTTTTATTCTGAACCTGCTACAAAGGCAATTAGTCATTCATTATAACACAAAAATTCAAATTGGTTGCAATTATGTTTTCTGAATCAAGACCATACCCTTTGATGTGGGTAATTTAAGGTTCTATATTTAAAATGCATTGAATGAATCATAATGGTAAATAAGAAGACCCTTAAACTAGCATTCATATCTCCTGCACATGAAAAATTAAATGGATAAATTCTACCTGTGACAGATTTATTTTTGTGGTAGAGAATTTTAAAGAATTGATTTAATTAGTTGTAACTATGCTCAGAAGCATAATTTGAAATACTGTTGAATGAATGGTGAAAGTATTTTCAAGCAGAGAGAAACTCTCTTAAAATTCCCTTTGTTCATTATTCAACAAACGTTTATTAAGCGCCCACAGTTTGCACGGCAATGTACGACATAATAATAACCTAACCTGGTATCATTCTCTTCTGCTTCTGCTAGTTAATGAATGAGTTAATCTCTTCAGCTGTCCATTCACAGTATGTGAAGAAAGACCACAGAAATTAAATGAATGAGTCAGTCTGAAAAGAAACATGGATGTGTGTATTTAGGTTTCCTTTTGTTTCATGTGCTAAAAACAGGTTACTAGCCAACTACTCTTTCTATTTCTTCAGGGACCCAGGAAATTTAAAAGAATCTTATCTCACTCAGGCAGTGAACTATACACTTATTCATGACTTTCTAAGTGTTTATAGAGGTGAGAACAGCAATTTGTAAGATGCTACAGATATGGAAAGGAAAAACAGCACAGTAAATTTAGGCAGATAAGGGGAAATGTATTTTGAGGGATTGTTTCCACTTGAAAAGTTATATTAGACTTAATAACACAGACTAGGTTAGAGCTGGACATTAGAGCTGATCTAGGCCACTGGTTTCCAACCTTTTGCATTAGAGTCACTGGATTTTTAAAAAAATATGGATTCTCAGCTCTCATTCCCAGAGGTTCTGATTCAGTTGATCTGGAAGAGGCTGGGAGGAGAGGCAAGCATACATATACTTGTACAGCTTCCCTAGCAGCCAAAGCTGAGACCCACAGACCTCGTCCAGACTCAACGGTTTGGCATGAGGTCTCCGAGCCCTTGAAAGAATAAATATCTTGCCTCAGATCAGCACAGCTTATAACCTGTGGAGCCAGGCCTAGAACCCAAGTAGCCAAATTCCTAGTCTGGATCTTCTAACTAAACCAAATCACACCGTTTCTACTTCTCTCACACACTGGTTAAGATCTAATTACCAGTTAGTAATAGGCAGGAAGAATAAGACTGCTTATAACCCATGTGACTAACAAGTCCCCTCCTCCTAGTGACCTGTGTGCTTCCATTCTTGCTAATAACTCTTCCAACATTCTTGCTAATAAGTCTTCCAACGACACTGTAATGATTAATATATCTGCTTAGTCCACATTTTTAACTATTTCACGTATTTGAAAGTTTTGCACCCATAAAATATATCATTCCCATTTTAGACAAAGAAACCAGATTTACTCTTTGAATCTGAGTCCAGTTGAAGTCTTCATTATAGAGCTTACAGAGCTGAGTACATGGAAGTATTCTAATGTCTGGCTGGGTTTTCTTAGCCAGCTTCCCTATATGAGAATGCCTTTAGGTTGGCCACTTCCACTGGGTTCTGAAAGCTCCATGCAGGTAGGGCTCTTGTCCAACTTCATCAACTGTCTCCCAGCATCTAGCAAAATGCTCGCCATAGACTCAACACTCAACAGTTAATTGTTGAATGAAAAATCCTTATTACATTTTGTTAACAAATGAGACAGAGTATCCTGAACCAACTTGTGCAGGACAATCTCATATACATAAAAGTACTGGGAAGATGGTTTTATAAAGGAGTAGTTTTACAGTTATTTTATTAGAAGAGCTTTGGCCTGATTTTCCTGACCTAAATTTGTCCTTGCTGTACCATTTGGATTACAGTTGGGCTATCTCACATTAATATTATGTTAAAAGTCCTTCATTCAAATGATACAAGTGAACTTATTTATAAAACAGAACCAGACTCACAGATTTCAAAAACAAACTTACGGTCACCAAAGGGGAAACGTGGCGGGCGGGGGGGTTGAATCAGGAGGATAGGATTAACAGATACACACAGTACTACATATAAGATAGAGAACCAACAAGGACCTACTGTAGAGCACAGGAAACTCTACTCAATATCTTGTAATAACCTATAAGGGAAAAGAATCTGAAAAAGAATATAGATATATAGATAATATACATATAACTGAATCACTTTGCTGTACACCTGAAACTAACACAATGTTGTAAACCAACTATACTCCAATAAAATTTTTAAAAGTCCTTCATTCAGTATATCTTTTATATGTGTGAAGGCACAACTAACATGCAATAAACATTGATGAAATAAAATTAATACCAAATTTTACTGTCTTTTGGAAAAATATAACCAAATTAATTAATATAATATTCTTCTCTAGCAAGATAAAGAGTGCAGTGTCTTTGGTGTTTCAAAGGGGTGGCACAGTATTGTAGAAAACAGTAATCTAGCTGCAGAAGATGATGATTCAATCAATGACTATTTAGAACTAGATTTTTATTAAGCAGGTCATTTCAATCCCATCTTTTCAACCCAACCACGCACCCAAATTCCATACATTTGTCTCTATGTAGGGTATTTGCTCTTCACCATAAGGTTACAGTTTTTCAGTCTTTTATCTAATTCAGGTAGAAATAACACAAAAAAACCACTGACATCAGCTAAAACGACGTATGTTCATATGGTAGATATGAATAGCCAAAGAATCAATGTAAAAAGTTGACACTAGAAAAACTAACCATGGTAGAAATATTCAACTCCAAACACTGAATATTTAATCTCTGCTATATAACTGAGATGAACTAGAGGGCTGGAGAGGAAAAGTTATACATTTAAGGGGTTAATCTTAGATCTAACACAAACATTAAAGCCAATGTTAATGGAAGGGACTGGGCTATGAATGAGCCACAATACTAGAAGTCCCTGGCTCAGGGCCAGGTACAGGGCAGAGATTCAGTAAATGCTTTGTTGAATGAAAGAATGGGTGAATGAATGAGTGAGTGAGTGAGTGAGTGAACAGTCTATTCAAAGCTGTGGATCAATAAACTAGAATTTGGGAACGTCAGTCAGTGCTGAGTATAGTGTAGGTATTTCTGTTTGTTAATTAATTAAAATGACCACGGAGTCATTATTCTTACACTTCATTTCTCAGCCAGAAAAGTTAATGAACTGTATCTGTTCCATGAATAATTGAGTTGAACCTGAAAGACAACTCCCCATTCCGAAAGCCTTCCACACGACCAGTTAACTGCGATTTATCCTTTTACTTCTGACGAATTTTAAGCACCTTCCATCTGATTTGACTGACAACCTATCTGTGCTTTCCCTGTCTTTATTCTTCCAGGAAGAAGATGTTACTCGTGAAAGTCGTTTTAATTTCAGTGGTTACGGGATGGGTCACTGCCTTCAAGTGAAAGATGGAACGGCTGTCAAGGCCACACCTGCCAGCCAGCTCCCACAGCCCCCCAAAGATGCAGATGCCATCAAGAAGAAGTTTGTAGACCGGGCAAAAAGGATTGACACGATTTCTCGAGCTGCCTTCCCATTGGCCTTCCTCATTTTCAACGTCTTTTACTGGATCACATACAAGATCATTCGGCATGAAGATGTCCACAAGAAATAGATGTGCTCTTCAGACCCTGGGACCTTCTTGCCTAACTGTTGTGCTTGTAAATACACAGTGAAATTGTCTTTACATCACTTTGACAGAGGAGAAGACTGGGGGAGGGGGGAGGGAGGATCATGGGGGCGGGTTTCCTGGCACCTACATGAAAAAAGATAAGTTATCCGGGCAATGAAGGAAAATGTTTGCACAAAATTACGGTGTTGCAGAATCACGTGAGCATAATTCCCTTCACAGTCTTTAGCACTGCTCTTTCCGATGATGCATTAAATAGACATGATATGCAAAGTCAAGTACTTGAGGGCTATTTGCCTTTTGGTTCAGTTTGGTTTGGTTTGGTTTTGGCTAATTCTGGTACTGAAAATACAGCTTAAACACACACGTGTGCGTGCACACACATGCGTGCGCACACACACACAAAAGGAAAATGCTTACCATCTGACCACCGTGACTAGCCTAGAGTGAGTTGAGGACCAAACTTTTTCAGGAAAATGCTGCCTCGTTTTTAAAACAAGCCTGCTGAGCTACGTTCTTTACGATGTCCGTAATTAGTGCTTCACCTGAGGAATCCTTTTGTGGGTCATAAATAATTTCTACTTATCGAGAAAACGACAACAAAAAATAAATACCAATCACAAAGAACAAATTTATACTTTACTGTCCGTGTAGGTGTGCATTTTAATACTCTTTTTCTTTCCTAGATGTAATTTGGGGATTTGAATTGTGTATTGTGAAATTGATTTGACCGTATGTCCTCTTAAAAATAAATGCCCATTTTCTTTTAGATCCAAGTTAGCACACTACATTTTTTTTCACTTTGGCTATATTTACGTGCAATTAAGTACTCAAGTGTGACTTAGCCGTCGCAGCCTCTCAGCCACAGAGATGATGTGTCCTGAACGGTGTAGCTCATATTAGCTTGAACTTCCCATTTCTGCTCTCATTGTAGGTGTAACTATTAGTCCTAATGTCAACTGACCCATGATTTCTACTGTCAATCCAAGTGAATATTGTTGGAAATATCCTTAACTAACTTAAAGAATTTTAAAATTGTACTGTGATTTTCATAACCTGTTGCCTTTTTGGTACCAGAGCTACGTGGTTTGAATCCTGGCTACATGTTTTAAGTAAGAAAAAAAAAAAAAAAAGACGTATTTTTGCTTACTCAGATAAAAGACAACCTGTAAAAAATATAATGAAAAAATTAAATTTTACATGTGCTGTAAAAGGGGTTATTAAAAATATTTGTTCAATTTCAATAAAGCTAAGTGTGCCACAGAAGCTATGAGTCTTTCCATTTTTGCATTACAATGTAAATAATTTAGATGACAATGGTAACTTGGATTTTTGTTTCTGGTCTTCCTCATAAACTTGAAGCATTTACATAGCTATTATATTTTTATTGTAATATAAGAGTAGCTTATAGTATCCCCATGAAGAAAGAAAAAAGTACATTATTCTCATTGTAGAAACAGGGAAATGGAGACATGGAAGTATTAGTAGTCATTGCGAGCAGAATCTAATACTGGATACTTCATATGAGATATGGAAAAGTTCCAAGGGCACTGCGTAATCGTAAAATACCAAAGGGAAAAGCAATTTAAAAGACCAATCTGTCCACCTATCCATCCTAGTCTTGTCAGGAATGGAGTTCTATGATGAAAAACAATTCTGAGAACCCCAGTGAAATAGCGGTAACTCACCTGAGCCCTTGTAGATTTTCCTTAACTAAGGGTATCCTTCATAAAATTTTCAGGAAGACGTGGATTCCTAAGTTGATGTTTATACCCTTTTAAACCAATTCAAATATTGAATCATTTCCATAGAGAAGAATATCACAGAATGGCTAAACACATGAATTTTGGAGATAGAAAGACTAGCTCGGCCACCTATCAACAGGGCTATCTTGGATAAGTTACCTGATTTTTCTGAGTAGCTCCTATTTCATAGAGTTTTAAGAGGATGAACCGAGAAAAATGCAAGGAAAGCCATGAGCTTGGTGTCTAACATATCGTAAATTCTCAATAACTAACAGATAATAATAAAATTATTATTATTATGAATTGCACTACACTAGGCAAGAAGCTACACAATTCCTAGCTTTGGCAAGATTAGTGCCATGCTTTGTGCCTCTTTCCTAAAACACTATTTCTATCTTATTGCTCGCTTCTTTCCAAATAAATAAGGCAAAGACTTTGGTCTCAATTCTCTTCCTCTAAAAGTAAGGCTAAAATGCCTCCCAAAGATAGGCCTGACCCCATAAATGTCCTAGGAAGAGCCCCGATGCTACATATGGTGGGATGGGCGGCACCTTGGGGGAAAATCCTAAGCTAAACGATCATGTCTAATCGAAGTGTATACCATATAATTTTCGGAGGCAGGGTGTGGTCCCCACATTAGAAAATTTTTTTTAATATTCACCTCTAGAGGAGGAGCTTCAAGATGGCGGAAGAGTAAGACGCGGAGTTCACCTTCCTCTCCACAAATACATCAGAACAACATCTACACATGGAACAGCTCCTACAGAACACCTACTGAACGCTGGCAGAAGACCTCAGACCTCCCAAAAGGGAAGAAACTCCCCACGTACCTGGGTAGGGCAAAAGAAAAAAGAATAAAGAGAGACAAAAGAATAGGGACGGGACCTGCACCGGTGGGAGGGAGCTGTGAAGGAGGAAAGGTTTCCACACACTAGAAGCCCCTTCGTGGGCGGAGACTGCGGGTGGTGGAGGGGTGGGGAGCTTTGGAGCCGCGGAGGAGAGCGCAGCAACAGGGGTGCGGAGAGCAAAGCGGAGAGATTCCGGCACAGAGGATCGGTGCCGACTGGCACTCACCAGTCCGAGAGGCTTGTCTGCTCATCCGCCGGGGTGGGCGGGGCTGGGAGCTGAGGCTCGGGCTTCGGTCGGAGCGCAGGGAGAGGACTGGGGTTGGCGGCGTGAACACAGCCTGCAGCGGGCTAGTGCGCCACGGCTAGCCGGGAGGGAGTCCGGGGAAAAGTCTGGAGCTGCCAAAGAGGCATGAGACTTTTTCTTCCCTCTTTGTTTCCTGGTGTGCGAGGAGAGGGGATTCCGAGCACCGCGTAAACAAGCTCCAGAGATGGGCGCGAGCCGCAGCTATCAGCACGGACCCCAGAGATGGGCATGAGACGCTAAGGCTGCTGCTGCCGCCACCAAGAAGCCTGTATGCGAGCACAGGTCACTCTCCACACCTCCCCTCCTGGGAGCCTGTGCAGCCCACCACTGCCAGGGTCCCAGTATCCAGGGACAACTTCCCAGGGAGAACGCATGGTGCGCCTCAGGCTGGTGCAATGTCACGCCGGCCTCTGCCGCCGCAAGCTCGCCCCGCATCCGTAACCCTCCCTCCCCCCCGGGCCTGAGTGAACCAGAGCCCGCTAATCAGCCTCTCCTTCGACCCCCTCCTATCTGGGTGAAGAACAGACGCCCGACGGTGACCTACATGCAGAGGCAGGGCCAAAACCAAAGCTGAACCCCAGGAGCCGTGCGAACAAAGAAGAGAAAGGGAAATTTCTCTGTGAAGCCTCAGGAGCAGTGGATTAAATCCCCACAGTCAACTTAGGTACCCCACATCTATGGAATACCTGAATAGAAAACGAACCATCTGAAAATTGAGGCAGTGGACTTTGGGGGATTTGCTGTATGCAACTGACTAGTTTCTGATTTTTATGTTTATGTTAGTATAGTTTTTAGCACGTGTTATCATTAGTGGATTTGGTTTATTGGTTGAGTTGCTCTCTTCTTTTTTTTCCTTTTAAAATTTTTTACATTAATAATTTTTTAAAATTTTAATAACTTTATTTTATTTTATTTTTCTTTCTTTCTTTTATTCTCCCTTTTCTTCTGAGCCGTGTTACTGACAGCGTCTTGGTGTTCCGGCCGGGTGTCAGGACTGAACCTCTAAGGTAGGAAAGGCGAGTTCAGGACATTGTACCACAGAGACCTCCCGGCCCCATGTAATATCAATCGGCGAGAACTCTCCTACATATCTCTGTCTCAATGCTAAGACCCAAAGGCAGGGCAAATCCAAAGCTGAACCCCGGCAGCCGGGCAAACAAAGAAGAGAATGGGAACTCTATCCCAGCAGCCTCAGGAGCAGCGGATTACATCTCCACAATCAACTTGATGTACCCTGCATCTATGGAATACTTGAATAGCAACGAATCATCCCAAATTGAGGAGGTGGACTTTGGGAACAACGATACATATATTTTTTTCCCTTTTTCTCTTTTTGTGAGTGTGTATGCGTATACTTCTGTGTGTGATTCTGTCTGTATAGCTTTGCTTTTACCATTTGTCCTAGGGTTCTGTCCAGGGTTTTTTGGGGGGTTATTTTTGTTACTTTTTAAAAATTTTTTCTTAATAATGATCTTTTATTTTAATAACTTTATTTTATTTTACTTTATTTTATTTTATCTTCTTCCTTCCTGCCTTTCTTTCTTTCTTTCTTTCTTTCTTTCCTTCCTTCCTTCCTCCCTCCCTCCCTCCCTTCCTTTCTATTTGTTCTCCATTTTATTCTGAGCTGTGTGGATGAAAGGCTCTTGGTGCTCCAGCCAGGCATCAGGGCTGTGCCTCTGAGGTGGGAGAGCCAAGTTCAGGACACTGGTCCACAAGAGACCTCCCAGCTCCACGTAATATCGAACAGCAAAAACCTCCCAGAGATCTCCATCTCAATGCCAAGACCCAGCTTCACTCAATGACCAGCAAGCTACAGTGCTGGACACCCTGTGCCAAACAACTAGCAAGACAGGAGCACAACCTCATCCATTAGCAGAGATGCTGCCTAAAATCATAATAAGGCCACAGACACCCCAAAACACAACACCAGATGTGGATCTGCCCACCAGAAAGACAATATCCAACCTCATCCACCAGAACACAGACAGGCACTAGTCCCCTCCACCACGAAGCCTACACAACCCACTGAACCAAGCTTACTCACTAGGGACAGATACCAAAAACAACGGGAAGTACGAACCTGCAGGCTGCGAAAAGGAGACCCCAAACACAGTAAGTTAGGCAAAATGAGAAGACAGAGAAACACACAGCAGATAAAAGAGCAAGGCAAAAACCCACCAGACCTAACAAATGAAGAGGAAACA